GTCCCCTGCATCGGCAGGCGGACTCTCAACCACTGCGCCACCAGGGAAGCCCTTAGCTGGTTTTTTTTTAAACTATACGCAATAGATGCTCATGATACAATTGTAAACTATGCAGAAAGCAGAAAGTGAATACTAAAGATTATTCTCCCCAGGGTAGCCATTGTTAATGGTTTAACATTTTTCCAGAAATTGTGTAGGTACACGTAAACCTCTGTGGGTGCGTTTTTTTCCACATATGGGTTCATACTATACATACTATTTTGCAGTTATTATTGTTCACTCAGTATTATGTAGCGAGATCTTTTCCTTATCATTACATGTAAATTGTGGTTGGCTCCTTTATTTTTACCAGTTCCCTGTGGGACTCAAGTTATTTCCAGGTTTTGTGTGGGGCTTGTTTGCCTTGTTTTGTTTTGTTTGCTTGTATCAGCTAGGCTGCAGTGAGTTTCCTTGCACAGTATTTCTTTGCACACTTGTGTCATATTTTCTGAAGGATAAATTTTACATGTAGGATTGCTGGTCAAAGCAATTTTGAAGTTTAATAGATAGTGCCAAATTGGTTCCCCAGAGTTGCGCTGATTAGCGGTCCTCCCAACAATATGTGAGGTGCTTCTTTCAATACACGTTCACCAACCCTTTCAACCTTTGTCAGTCTGATGTGTACAAAGATGGTGTATCTGGTGTTTGAATTTTCATTTCTTTAGTGTTGTTGAACACTGTTTCCTATCTTCCTAATTTTTGTAATTCTTTTTCTCCAAACTTCCTCCTTATATCCTTGCTCATTTTACTGCTAGGTTGTACATCTTTTTCTTACTTATGTGTAAAAGCTGTTTGTATACTAAGGAAATTTGTTCATTGTTATACATGTTTTACTAATTTATCACATCATCCTACTCTGTAGTATTTTTTACCATATAAAAATATTAAATTTTTTAGTATTCAAATTTGTTTCTTTTCCTTTGATGCCTATTTGTTTATTTGCAGAATGTTTTAGGAAGTCTTCCTAAGTGGGATGACAGTATGTTCTAGTTTGCCCCGTTATCCTAGTTTAAATATTAATAGCACGTCCATTCACTCTTACTAGGTTCTTTTTTGGATAATGAATTATATGGGTATCAAATTTCTAAAAGTGTGTTTTGAAAAATTCTCCAGCTGATATTCATTAAATACCACTGGTTTAATGTTTTAAATGATAAATTCTTAGAACAGAATCCCCAAGATAGAGTCCCTCTACAGTTCTGTTCATTGATACATATATTGAACCCTGGAGTACAGAAAGCATTTTGAGATGCAAGAGAAAATAATAACTATAAAGAAGAAAATATGCAGAAATTTTTAGTTCATTTACCATCACACTCTATTTCCCTCAGAATTAAGGGAATATGCTGCAGATGATGGGAAAATATAAACTGATAGACATGAGTAAAGTTTGCCTGAGTGAAATTGTGTGGATATCACCTCAGGGAGCTTTTTTTTTTTTGACCTTTAATCGTGGTATAACAATCACCGAGAAAAATGCATTAATCATGAATCTGTGGGTCAGTGATTTATCGCAAAGTGAACATACCTTTGTAACCACTATACATGTGCCTCTTCCTTTGTGCCTCTCCTCAAAAGGTAGCTACAGTACTGACTTATAACGTCATAGATTAGCTCTGTCTGTTTTGGTTTTGTTTTGTTTTGTTTGCGGTACGTGGGCCTCTTACTGTTGTGGCCTCTCCCGTTGTGGAGCACAGGCTCCGGATGCCCAGGCTCAGTGACCATGGCTCACGGGCTCAGCTGCTCCGCGGCATGTGGGATCTTCCCGGACTGGGGCACGAACCCGCATCCCCTGCATCGGCAGGCGGACTCTCAACCACTGCGCCACCAGGGAAGCCCAGCTCTGTCTGGTTTTGAACTTTATTTAAATGGAATTATACAGTACACATCCTTTTATGAGAGATTCATTCTTGTTTTATGAGTAGCAGTATTTTGTTCATTTTCATTGCTTTCTGGTATACCAGAATATACCAGAATGTGGAATGAATATACCACAACTTGTTTATCCATTCTACCGTTGATGGAAATATGGGTTGTGTCCAGTGTTTGGGCTTATTATAACTAGTGTTGCTGTGAATATTGTTATGTAGATGTTTTGGTGCATGTGTGCATTCATTTCTCGTGCATTCATATCTAGGAGTATAAATTGGATAATAGAGTATCCATGTGTCCAAATTTGGTAGATACTGTTAAACAGTTTTTCAAAGTAGTTTTCCAAACTCCTACCAGCAGTCAACATCTTTGCTAATATTTGGAAATGTCAGTTGGAATTTTAGCCATTTTGCTGGGTGTGTAGTGGTCTCTCAGTGTGGCTTTAATGTGTACAACAAATGATGTTGAGCACTTTTTCATATTCTTTTGTGAAGTGCCTGTTATGTCCCTCACCCATTTTCTATTATATTGTCTGCTTTGTCTTCTTGACGTCTAAGTATTCTTTCCATATTCTGGATACTGGTCCTTTATTAGTTTTATGTGGCAAATGTCTTCTCCCACTCCCTTAATACTGTCTCTTCATTTTATTGTAGTCCAATTTAACAATCTTTCATTTTATGGTAAGTACTTTAGTATGTTTTGTTTAACAAATCTTTTTGTTGAAATATTCTCTTCTGTCAACTCCTAGAAGCGTCATGATTTTACTTTTCACATTTAGATCTATGAACCATGAATTGATTTTTATGCAGGGGGTTAGCTATAGGTTAAGTTCCTTTTCTCTTCTCAGATGGTAACCAGTAAAACAGTACTATGTTGTTTTTGTTTTGTTTTTGACAAGGCCATTCTTTATGCTCAGCAGTGTCACTTTTGGCAATAAGTTAAGTATCCATGTGTATATGTGGGACTTTTTTCCTGGACTGTGTTCTGTTCCACTGGCCTTTGTATCCATCTTTGTGATGTACCACACTGTCTTCCTAATTACTGTAACTTTATAATGAGTCATTATATCTGGCAGTGTAAGAGCATCCCCTGCCCCCCCCACACACTTTGTTCTTCACAATTGTGTAAGCTCTACTTAGCCATTTGTATTTGCATGTCCATTTTATTATCAATTTTTTTTAAACTCCTAAAGGCAGTGGGAATCATTGAGGTTTGAGTGTGATAAAAATCATAAGTTTTGTACAAGATTTTTTTTTTTTTTTTTTTTTTTGTGTGGTACGCGGGCCTCTCACTGCTGTGGCTTCTCCCGTTGCGGAGCACAGGCTCCAAACGCGCAGGCTCAGCGGCCATGGCCCACGGGCGCAGCCACTCCGCAGCATGTGGGATCTTCCTGGACCGGGGCACGAACCCGCGTCCCCTGCATCGTCAGGTGGACTCTCAACCACTGCCCCACCAGGGAAGCCCTGTACAAGATTTTAAGAATAAGATCAGCTCAAATCTAGACTCTTAAGATTAAGTAACATCCGTGTTATATCAGCATTGGTTTTATATTCTCTTGTAGACTACTCAATAAACTGGCCTTATTTAAAAAAATCAAAACCAAAAACTAATGATTAAAGAACATACTTGTTTGAAGTTTCATAGAGAGTTTGTAAGTTTATTAAGAAACATGCAATTAAATAATCTTGGTGTTTTTGTTTTGCTTTTCAGAACATCTGTGATAAGTCTACCATAAATTGAACTCCTTCAAGAATTCTCTGAAGGAACCAAATAGGATTTTCTTACATCATGACTTAATCTGAATGCAAGAACAAGAAACAGGTTTTATCTCTAAATATAATGAAGGGCTGTGTGTAAACACAGACCCTGACTCAATTCTAATGAGCATTTTAGACATGAGTTTACATCGGCAAATGGGTTCAGATCGAGATCTTCAGTCTTCTGCTTCATCTGTGAGCTTGCCTTCAGTCAAAAAGGCACCCAAAAAAAGAAGAATTTCAATAGGCTCTCTGTTTCGGAGGAAAAAGGATAACAAACGTAAATCAAGGGAGCTAAATGGCGGGGTGGATGGAATTGCGAGTATTGAAAGTATACATTCCGAAATATGTACTGATAAGAACTCCATTTTCTCTACAAATACCTCCTCTGACAATGGATTAACTTCTATCAGCAAACAAGTTGGAGACTTTATAGAGTGCCCCTTGTGCCTTTTACGGCATTCTAAAGACAGATTTCCTGAAATAATGACTTGTCATCATAGATCTTGTGTGGATTGCTTACGACAATACCTAAGGATAGAAATTTCTGAAAGTAGGGTTAATATCAGTTGCCCAGAATGTACTGAACGGTTTAATCCCCACGATATTCGCTTGATATTAAGTGATGATGTCTTGATGGAAAAATATGAAGAATTTATGCTTAGACGGTGGCTCGTTGCGGATCCTGATTGTAGGTGGTGTCCAGCTCCAGACTGTGGGTAAGAAGATTTTGTTTGATTTTTCTTTAGTTAATATTTTTCTCTGTGGATAAAATAAGAATTTGCTGACTGTTACTCAAAAGAAAAATCTTAACATGCCAGGTAATTCATTCATTCAGTAGACAGTAGACAAAAATATGTTGAGTATGTACCATGTGTCAGGGACAATGTTAGATATTAAAGGCAGGAATCTTGTCTTACTCATTTTTGTATTGTCTTTGCATCATATATTCACTTAAGACTGTTTTCAGAAGAAAAGGATAAGATGGTAGAGTGCAGGATCTAGTCCTATTTATTTTCCCCATCCATTTGGAGAATTTTTATTTTGTTATAATAGATGAAATGAGCAGACATTTTGTTTGTTTGCTTTTGGTGGGGGAGTCACTTGTTTAAACTTAAATGACCCTTTTGAAAGGTACCTTAATGCGTGCCACAGTATGATGTGTTCATGAGTTGATGTGTTCTTGAGACACAAGATCTAGAGGTTATGTAATACTTCATTTGCCTCAAGTTTTTGAATTACAAATACCATTTTCCCAATATTTAAAGTAAAATAATTTTGCTTGTATATTTGGTTATTATGTTAACAGCAGCTCCTGTTAATAGGGTATTTACCATGTATGGTTGTCAGAGCTAGAAAAAAATAGTCATATGCTTTTCACGAATAAGGAAAGCCATAAACCCTGGATGAGTTTAGCATACCATTAGTAAGCCAGAGATTATAAATAAGAGTTTGGGAAAACCCAGAACTTCCAAGATTATCTGGGTATAATCAGAGACAAGGCTGAAATGTGAGTTTGATTTATCAAATGACAATTTCAGGACTCTGATCAAATCCATTATTAAAAACTTATTGAGCAGCAAATTTTCAGATTGTATTTAGTCTACCAATTCCATAATTTTAAGTGAGAAAGGTAATAGTATGTTTCTAGCCTGTGCAAATTCCATCAGTTTTCCCAGGTATCACTAGCACTTCACTGTCCACCAGGGATTTCTGTGAAACATAAAGCATTAAAAATATTAGATTATCTAATTATTTAACATTTTATGAATTCATTAGTTGTGTGAAGGACTCGGAGGTACTGTTCAGTATCACATTTGTATTATGATCTCCTATACTGCAGGATGCTTGTACTGTAACATAAATAACAAAATAATATATTAAAGATACTTTCTAAACTGGGCCAAGGTTGGCTGTGCTGCCAGGTGTATGGTAGAAGCAAACTCTGGACCTGTGAAGGGTTAAATTCTCAAGAAAAAGATGGGGAGAAAATAGGGATAATGAACAGTGCCTTTAAATAATTTGAGCTAGGTACGATTGTATCACTCTTGATCCCGTGGACCCCTGCAGAATATTTTCACTAATGCAGGTGTGTACATTCATTAGAGTAGATTTCAAGTTGATTACAAATTTTAGGTTTAAAAAAAAAAGCCTTTTGCAAGTCATTATAGCAAATACCCTATAGCAAGAGTTCAAACAGAAGTATTTTACATTTCATCTGGACAAAGTGTGATTTTCTAACTGTCTTTCATGGAACCCCAGGGTAAGAGGCGTTTCACAAGTTCCTTTAAGCATTTAATAGCTTTAAAAGAAAATGTGTGAAAATGATGGAACAAATTAAAAGGAGGCTTTCGTGTCAGAACCTGTGACCAGGAGAGACTGAGAGAGTAAATCCAGGAGCACAAGCTTTCTGGTCACTAAATAGGTATGTTCTCCTGTGCTGGGTTGATGGATCATGTCATCATAGTGGATAATATCAACACTATCAAGCTAATAGAACACAATAGATAGGGCTGACGTAGATTCTCACTTGTCTAAGAACTTGATTTGGGGACTTCCCTGGTGGCGCAGTGGTTAAGAATCTGCCTGCCAACGCAGGCAACATGTGTTCAATCCCTGGCCCAGGGAGATCCCACAGGCCGCAGAGCAACTAAGCCCGTGCGCCACAACTACTGAGCCTGTGCTCTAGAGCCCGCGTGCCACAGCTGCTGAAGCCTGCGCACCTAGAGCCTGTGCTCTGCAACAAAGAGAAGCCACCGAGATGAGAAGCCCGTGCACTGCAACGAAGAGTAGCCCCCGCTTGCCACAACTAGAGAAAGCCTGTGCGCAGCAACGAAGACCCAATGCAGCCAAAAATAAATAAATAAAATAAATAAATTTATTAAAAAAAAAAAAAGAACTTGATTTGGGGGGAAGAATGCCAAACCAACTGGGAAAGGATTGATTATTCACCATATAGAATTGTGAAAATTAGCTATTTAAGGGGAAAAAATTAGATTGTCACCACATATAATAAATTAAAACAAAATCAAAACAGATTACAGAGGTAAGTTATATAAATAAAAGGACAAAATTAAACTAAAAGAAAATATAGATTGATTAGATCACTTACTGCTATATTATTTAGTAAAATTGAACACACATCCTGTAACTTAGGAGATCCACTCCTAGTTAAATGCCTCAGAGAAACTCTTTACTTGTGTGCCAAGAGACATCTAGTTATGAGACATATTTAAGAATGTTCATAATAGCAAAGAAACAAACAAAAAAGTTCATTAACAGTAAAATGGATAAATGCATTTAGTCTCATGGTTACCTCTTGTGAGGAAGAAGAAGGATGTGAACTTCAAAGGGGCAATCAAGGAACTTCTAAAGCCACAGATAAACAAGGTAACCATAGGTTCTGGTTTGCCCAAGATAGTTCCAATTCATGCTTATTGTACTGGTGTAAATTTTAATAGCATTACCTTTCTTTTTCAGGTGTTCCAGTCAGGTTGTGAATTATATGATCACCCTACTGATACTATTCTTAACTTGTGTGGTAGATTCAGGGGGTATTCATTTTATTATTCTTTATAAATCCTTTGGTGTATATGACATTTCTCAGTAAATTTAAATTTTTTTCATAATCTCATACTCTTAGGTATTTTTCACATTTTCTTCTTATTGAGACATCAGTGTTAAAAAATAATATGGCTTAGGTATTCTAAGTATTTTGGAGAGGAAGACATGAATGTTAAGTATAAAATAATCTTAAAATAATAGAAACACCTACTTAAATAGATTCCTTTATTATGAAAACCACTTGACTGTTACATAAGTTTAACAGAGAATTAGTCTTGATTAATTTGGCTATAAATTAATTTTTGGTTTTGGTGGTTGTTAGTAGTCTTACGCACAAAGGACAAAGAAAACATGTCACAGAGATTAATCACTTTGTGTATTTTCATTTGTATTCAATTTATGCTGGCTCACTAGATTAGTAAGAGCATATTTTATATACTTGATTACGTTATAGGTTTTATGGTTGTGTTATGTGGAAAAGATCACCTGTGACAAAATTTATACATATGCTTTGAAAACATAGAATACTGCATAAGACCTCATTACAAATTACAATTGTACTTGGCATGAGCGTGGATAGACCTGATTTTGAATCTCTATCCTATCATGTTTTAAGGATTGAGAAGGTTTTTAATGTTATTGGTAGCATAATTCCTAGCACACAGTAAGCTTTTTATAGTTCTTATTTATCACTCCTCATCTCCATTTCTGAAGTTTTGTTTTTATTTTTTTAAATCAGACAGTTTTTCAAATATTTACTGCACCCGTGTGCCAGGTACTGGGAATTTTTAATAACTAACAGATGAAAATCTCTGCCCTCTTGGAACTTATTAAAATCTTTGGATTCACAGAGAGAAATTTCTTATTTAAACTCCATTTATTACTGAAATCTGGCACAGAGGATACTGGTAAATATCTGACTGTTTGACAGTTATTCATAGCAATGCATAGCCAGTAGTACGTACTAGGACCACAGGCATGCGTGTAGTATTTTAATCCCTTTCATTGTACAACACACTTGAAAGACTTTTTTCCAGAAATGCTAAATGTGAAATTATGTTTTCCTCTTGCTTTTGATACTTACCAAAATGACCATTTTCTGTATCTGACACCAGTTTTACTTAAACATGTAGTTTAACACACTGAGAAATATTGCCCTTAGCTCAGAGTAGAAAGAAAACCTGGACCTGGTTTCTATTTGAGACATCTGAGGGTTTCTGACCTAATAGTCTTTCCTCTCTTCTGAGGGCCAGGGCAGATTAAGCTTGTTTAAAGGACAGTATGTATTTCTGAAAACCCCTCTTGCGAAGGGGTCTAGGAGGCCAAACCTGTGTGCTGTGATTTAACCGGGGTGAAGTTATCTGGACTGCTTCTAGAACATGCCAGTCTATACAGGTTCAGAGAAAAATCTGGCCATGGCTGAGGAAAAGAATTACAGTGAGGGACATGTAGGAGGGGAAGCATAAGACCTGCCTTGGATAAAAATATCTATTACCTCTGCCTAGGAGGCGTAGTTTGTACATTGTCTAGGCAGATAGCAAAAAACTGGCATCTTGGTTTCTGTCATCACTTGTTTCAATTGGCTAAGACTACCCTTCTACTAGCACACATTATCCATGTCATCTCATGTGAGTGCTTTTGACTTTACTGGGGAGATTTGAATATGCAGGAACATTTATTATACTAGAATATAGTTAATGATTTAATGTCTGTGAGCCCCTCAAGAGTAAAAATAAAAAGTATTTTTTTCTTTATAACCACAGGTTAACCACATGCTCAATAAAGAGTTATTGAATGAACAAATCTGAATATATGCCATTAATGTAAATCGTATGTCTTAGGAACAGTTAATAAACCATTTTTAAGCAGTGTGCTCAGCTATAATCAGGTTTGTTAAGCTTTGAGCTGATTTACTGACATTTAAATGGCTCTAAATAATAACTTACTCTGGTGGAAGATACTGTTCATAATGGACACTGTTCATAATGGAGTGGCACCATAGGCTTAGGAACTAAGGAACATGTATTTTTAGAATTTTATTCTATCTATATGACTCTCATTCCCGTCCTCCAAAGAAGAGTTTTAGCCATAACTTGCCCGTCTTTTGACATGCTGGAAATGCTTTTGTAGGCTAACCTTTTAGAACAGAGAACAG